TATCTATGGCAAAATCTAGAAAAATAAGCCTAGGATGTTCTGGTAAGCTTTCTGACTTGAGAGCACCTACCAGGTCTCATATTCAGCTAGATTTGCATGTGAGAACTCTGAGCACCCTCCACAACATGGTGAGACATTGGAATAGATCATTACAGAGGAAATATTCTTACAAATAATAATGATGATAATTATAATAGCTCATATGTATGCTATACTTTAAACTTACAAAGTGCTTTCCTCACAGCAATCCTGTGAGGGAAACAGTATATGTTTAATTGCCATTTTAAAAATCTAAACACTGAGGGTAAGTATGATTAAGTATGGTCACACAAAGTGCAAGTACAAGCCAGGGTCAAATAAAACACTTTGTAAACTGTAAACCATGATGCAAATATAAGTCATTTCCCCCCCTTTCTTTGTATCTCTACTGCTTAGTACAATGTCTGAGATATTTATTGTTGTCGTTCAGTCTTTGTTACCCAACTTTCTATGATCCCATTTGATGTTTTCTTGGCAGAGATGCTGGAATTGGTTTGCCATTTCCTTCTCCAGCTCATTTTACAGATGAGGAAACTGAAGCAAATAGGGTTAAGTGACTTGCCCAGGGTCATATAGCTAGTAAGCTTCTGGGGCCAGATTTGAGCTCAGGAAGATGGATCTTTCTGACTCTAGGCCCTGAACTCCATTTGCTACCCCACCTGGCTGCCCTCTACCCGGCATATAGTAGGTACTTAATAAATACTTCTTGATGACTTATTATTAGCCCCATTATCTCATTCCTCTAATCTCCAATGCAGCAATTCAGCTCTGGCTCAGTGAGCATTTCGTAGGGTTGACCACAACAGACACAGTCCCCAGCATGCTGCTTTCTACTCCTCTTGATTCTATATTGACTCTATGCTCTTCCTTCCCCACTTATCATCCCCTTGACCCATCGTCATCCCACCTTTAACTCTGGACATAGTTATCTAATCAACTATATAATTCCTAGAGAAGTTATGGTAATAAATTACTCATGGTTTTCAGTCACTAGCCCTGAGACCTCTCAGATAAAACGTCTCCTTGACCTTCATTTCCTTCTACATGTTGCCTCTGCTAAATAGAATCAAAGCTCTTCCAAGACACGGACTCTTTTTCTTTTTTTTGTATTTGTACCCACAATTCTTGGTACAATGCTGAGCACAGAGTATTCACTGAATAAATGTTTTTTTGTTGATCCACATAATAATAATTATTATTATTATTACATTATTATAATTAATTGTAATTAATAAAAATATCATTATTATATAAGAGGCAATATGGTGAAATGAAAGGACATTAGACTTAGAGTGAGAAGATGAGGTTCTCTTTTTATTTTTTTTTTTTGTGATTACTTACGTAGGTGACAACCTCTCTGGACTCCCAGTTTCCTCATCTATAAAATGCTTCACTGACTACCTTGTGGGACTTTCATAAGGAAAGCACTTTGTAAACCTTAATAATGAGCATCAGTATCATCCTCATCCTTACAGGGAAGTGCTTTGGAAGCTTTAAAGGGACAGGAGCTGGACCTGGGACAGGGGGAAATCATTGATGAGAAAACTCCCTTTACTAAAGAAAATCAGCACCTTCTCTGCACATTAGAGTCTCAGACAGTTGCCTGGGGCACTGAGAGCAAACTACTTGCCCCAGATCACATGATCAATATATGTCAGAGTTTGAACTAAACCCAGGTTTTCCTGTCTCTATAGCTGTTCTTCATTCACTACTTTACACCGACTCTCTGTCATCATAAAAGGCATATAAATGTGAGGTGTTGCTGTTGCTGCTGTTTTAACATTTTGTCCACATTATGTCTTTGAAGCCAGACATTTCTAGATAGGCACTGACTGTCACCAAAATAAATATTCAAACAAAGAGACATAGAGACAGATACAGATAGATAGAAAATAGATAATAAGTACAAAGATAGATGATAAATACAAAGATAGAGAGATAGATGATAGGTAAAAAGATAGATAATGGGTACAAAGATAGATAATAAGTACAAAGGTAGATAGATGATAGGTACATAGATACATGTTAAGTATAAACATAAAGAAATAGGTATATGAAGGTACAAAGATAGAGGATAGGTACAAAGACAGATAATAGGCACAAAGGTAAATAGATGATAGGTAGATAGGTAGATAGATAGAATAATGGATTATTTAGAGGAAATCATAGTTAATAATATTTCTTAATATAATGTTATGGATTTAAAATTAATATACAGCACTTCTAATTCCATCCTTAGGTCCTTATAGCGTTTGGGAAATTGCCTTCCGTGTGTGTGCATATCTATGCCCATGTGTATGTATACATGCGTCTTGTTCTCTTTATGATATCAGCACTGCAGCAAAAAAATAAAAAAAAAATCATCAGATTCCAAAGTTGGCTGGCAGTTGTATTAATGATGCATGAGATGGGAAAGAATAGCTGATCCTCCACACCTATCTTTGCTCTGCAGTAGTCACCTTCAGTGCCGTACTAATGTATGCTTTGTCAGGAAAACATACAGATCTGTTGCCTAGCCCTCCCCAGGAACAGTGTCTGTCCTAACAAGTTGCCATTCTGTTGAGAAAAGTCATTCCTCCTCCTTTCTCTAGAAGACAAGTAATTTAAGCTGAAATTATTCATAATTCATCCCATCATGCTTAGGAATTGCTAAGCACACTGTAAATGCATCTCTTTATTGACTTGAGTTCCCAAGGAAAAAAAAAAAACCTTTATATACTTCCATATAACTTCTCAGTGGGATTGTGTAAACTTCTGCAAGTGCTGTTGCAAATCAGTGTCTGAGCTGTCTCAATGGCTAAACTGTCAACAAATTGGGAAGTTTAATTTCTCAGTTACATTTTCTTATGAAGGAGTGCATTAGTAAGTAACTTCCTGAAAATAACACCTCAGAAAAATTCACCAAAAGATTGTGTGCCTACAACGGGGCAATGCTGTGATATGGTGGCCAAAAATAATTAAACCATCTTAGGTGCATTAAGGTAAGGGAGGAAGGAAAGAAAGAAAAAGAGAAGGAAGGGAGAAAGGAACAAAGGAAGGGAGGGAGAAAGAAAGGAAGAAAAGAAGGAAGGAAGGGAGGGAGGGTGTGAAAGAGAAGGGGGGAAAAAAGGAGGGAGGAAAGGAGAAAAGAAAGGAGAGGAAAGAGGAGAGGGAGAAAAGAAGGAAACAAGCATGGAAAAAATGCCTACTATGTGCCAGGCATGGTGCTAAGCTCTTTATAAGTATTACCTTATTTAATCCTCACAAAGACACATCCATCCAACCCACATTTGTTAAGTTCCTACTATGTATAAGGCACTATGTTAGATTCTCTGGATACAAGATAAACAAAAGTCCTCTAGTGACTCTTGTTATTTTTGGGACATAACTTATACAAATATTTAAAAAATTGTTATACAAATGTATGAATGTATGTGGTCTCAGGCATAACACATATATCTATCTCTATATATCTTGATAATTTGAGGAAGAGAAAACACTTGTACTTGTGAGATCAGCGGAAAAAATACCAAACAGGAGCTATTATATGATGTGAGACTTGAAAAATGCTAAGGGTTCTATGAGGTGAAGATGTGCAGGGAGTGTATTCTATAGTTTATGTAGAGAGGACAGAGGCTGGTAATGAAATACTGATTTTAGGGACTAGTAAGTAACCTAGTTTGGTTCCAATGTAGAGTGTGGGAAGAACAATGGTGAGAAAAATCTAGAAAGGTGGTCTGGAGCTAGACTAGGAAGGGTTTTAAATGTCAAGTTGAAGAATTTGTTGTTTTGTCCCAGAGACAAAAGAGAGACACTGAGGGTTCTTAAACAGAGAGTGGCATCAGACTTTATCTTCACTTCTAGATGGTACTTTGAGAACTTGAAAGATGTTCAGATGTGTGCAACGAGCACGGGGATACGGCTAGAGTATCCCCTAAGGGCAAGATAATTGCCATCAAATATTTTAAGGATTGTCCTGTGGAAGAACAATTAGACTGTGTTAGGCTCCACAGTATGGAACCAGAAGCCATTGGGGAAGTTATGGAGAGGTAGATTTCAGAACGCTATAAAGCAAAATCTTCTAACAGTTATAGCTGTCTAAATATGTGATAGGTTGATTTGAAAGATAGTGAGTTCCTCATCTCTAGAGGTCTTCAAATAGAGTCTTGATTGTTGCTTGGTGGAGATCTTGCAGAAGTGGCTGCTATGTTCCACTAAACATCTAAATAAATTACTGATTTCTCAGAATCTGTGGTTCTGTGAACCCTCTGTACTCTGTCAAGTACATTTAACTTTCAATTAGAAAAAAATTAGTCCCATGACTGGGTTTCTAGTTAATCTGCTTAGGCATATGTAGACTGCAAATGGGGGCCCACCAGGGTACTAGATTGAGTTGGTTGCTGTTTTAGAATTGAATGATATCAATTCTTACTTTCTAAAATCTTTTACTAGTGTATGGGGAATCATTTATTACACCCTCCCCAAAGGGCCCAGGCAGAAACACATAATATATTCTGGGGAAAGGGAAGGGAAGGGAAGGCATTCTCTGATAAATAGAAGTTCTTTACCTATTTCCAGTACTGCTATCAATAATCATGAGGCCCATCCTACTTTGGGGTTGCATGCACTGTGCTACAATCATTAGCAGTTGCTAAGAAATACTATATAAGCTGTCCAATAAACTTGATGGATTGTCTAATTAACTCTTCATCAGCATCCGTTTTTAAAGATGCTACCTACTGAACCTGATGGCACTTTACGACCTTCATGTTCAGTATACAGCTAATTACTCCTTGGACAATAATTATTAAGTTTCTTAAGTCTCAGTCAGTTATTTCGTTTTATAAATGATTAGGCCACTGAGCCTCTCAATTCATTTGGTTTCATAACTATGGTTCTCAGAGGATTACTTAAAGCCTGCTACAGTATGTACAATTCATATAAACATATTTAAGTAGATTACAAAGATGTCCATTTTGTAGGTTTTCCATTGATCGGCACACTGACCTTGAGAGACAGTTCAACATTAATGCAGAAGATGGGAGGATAACATTGGCAACACCCCTCGACCGAGAGACGAGTATGTGGCACAACATAACGATCATAGCTACTGAAATTAGTAAGTGTCTGGGTTTGTCCATTCTTTTTATTCGATTTTGCCTCATTTCTGATATTGATCAAATGAAGTCAGTCCCTAGATAAGATTTCTCAGCGGACAAGGAAAGGAGGGGTTATATTCTGCCTCTATGAGAAGAAGATACATAAGAATGAAATCATAGATTCACCAAATTATCCAAGGAATGATTTAATAAAAGGTGTTCCTTTTCAAATAAATCTCTTGGTAATTGGTGCCTAGCCCCTTTCTGTGTTTTGTCTAACAACTTATAAAGGAAATGGCTTTTTGTGGGGGTCACTGAAAGTTTCATAATTAAAATTCTGTAACTAGATTGTCCGGAGTATGAGAATGAGGGAAGCATAAGATGCCTTTCTTTTAGAGGAAATACTTCCCCCTCCACCCCTCCACCCCCACACCATTCTAGGGTATATCTTATATATCTTCAGAAACAGAAAATTCTTCCATCAGCCAGAGAGCTATGCCGAAACAGTGAATCAAGCTGCCTACAGATAAAGAATAAGGTGATACTTGACACAAACGTTAATTCCTGGCTGGAAAAGGGCAAACAAGTCTCAGCACAAATCTGTAGATAAGGATGTAAATGCAGAATTAGCCATGCATGATCTAAGCCATTAAAGGAAAGAACATACAGATCAGTAACCAAAGGCAAGAGAAAGTCTAACGTGCATTTAAAATAGCTTGCAAATAGGTTTGACTTGTTTTGATTATTGATGCTATTTTATAACATCTATTTTCCCAAATCTAGAAGAAGGTCTAGGGAAATAATTTTAGGAAACTACATTGTATTGGAATTGAGTGATTATTTGTAACCCCACAAGTAACACAGCGCCCCTGAAAGGCAGGGAAATAAAGAGAATGGAGGGTGTATTCTATGAAGAACGAGTTAAAATTGCTTTCAGAGTCGCATCTCGTCGGACAAAAGGTTCAGACAAATGAAATTAAGCTAAAAAAATAGATGTTAGGAAAGTTCATCTGTTATCTCATAATGAGAACGGAGATGCTGTTCCTCATCCTCTTGTGTCAAATTCACTTAACAGAGGCTAAGATGGTTGTGCTGTAGGCATTCCCCAAGTACTTAAGCAGTAATAGATATAGTCTGCCATCACAGTAAATGTGTAAATCTCATTACTGCAACTGGGAGTTAGTTGCACATGTGTTAACAGTAGATTAGGCTTCTAAAGTTGTTACAATCCTAATGGAGCTGCTAAGGAGGTAACCCACTTTTCCTAAGCCCCCATGCACACCTTATATTACTCCTACTGTTAGTCATTTGCTCTATTTTAATTACCATTGACCTAATATGAATAAAATGACCACAATTTTAATATTATGATTTCGTTACTTATAAACATCTTCTCTTAGATGTGAGGAAAATAGGACTAGGAGACATTATGCAGGCTCCCTACCGCCATGTTCATTTTTGAAAGTGAAGTTGGACAAATAAGCAATTTTTTTAAAGTATTTATTAAACACTTCATATATGCCAGGCACTGTGCTAAACAATGACAGGGAATACAATATGAATTGCATAATCTGTGCCCTCATAAAGTTTACAGTATGGGGGAAACAAGTCATAAGTCCATGAAAATGCAATTAATGTAATATGTAATAAGGTTCAAATAGATGTCATAAATAATTAGCAATACAGCATTTCAGGAAAAGAGATCATTTCTAGCTGAAGCAACAAGGGGAAATGTGGGCTTTAAACTGGAGTTAGAAAAAGTTAGGGATTTTCCCCTACTCTGCTAAAGTCGCTATGACTGCCTATTGCCTTTGAGATAAATTATAGACTCCTTCTCTTGACATTTAAAGCCCCTGTAATATCAATCAATCAATAAACACTAAGCACCTACTATATTTCAGGCACTGTGCTAAGCACTGGGCATATAAAAAGAGGCAAAAGGCAGTTACTGCCTTCATGGAGTTTATAATCTAGTGGAGGAGATAATATGTAAACAGATATACACAAAGCAAGCTATATGCAAAAAAAAAAAAGGAAAGAATTAACAGAGGGAAAGTAATAGAATTAAGAGAATTTGGGAAGATTAAAAGATGGCTCCCATCTACCTTTCCAGCCTTAAAAAATATTTCTAGATGCTAGGCATTATCATTATCTCTTCTCTTGGAGCATGCTATATTTCAGCCAGGCTGGCCTTCTTGCTTGTCTGTGGGCTTAACCTTCTACTTGCTTCCTTTAGGTCTTTATGTAGAAGTTTTCTGTGTTATTTATTTATCTATCTATCTATCTATCTATCTATCTATCTATCTATCTATCTATTTTTTATTTATTTAATTAATTTTTTTCCCCTATGCCTGAAACATTCTCTCACTTTTGCCTCATAATCTCTGTTTTCTAGCAAAGCTTAACTCAGGTGTCATTTGATACCCAGATCTGTTTCTGTTTCTTCTATTTGTTAATACTCTCTCTGTCTTCAAATTAGACTATTCTGACTTATCAATTTTCCTGTTGCAGAATATATTCTGCCGGAAACAAAGGATTTGTGTGTGTGTGTTTGTATGTGCGTGTGTGTATACATACACATACAAACACACATATAAATATAAACTTGCATGTTTTACATATGTTTACTTGTATATATTTTTATTTTTATGTCTCCACCACATGATACAGTGCCTGGCACATGGCAGGGACCTAATAAGTGTTTGTTGAACTGCAATGAATTGTTGAATTAAGGAAAGGCCTTGTACAACTGGAGAACAGCACAAGCAAAAACACACATAAATAAGAATCAGAGACTTCTAGAATGTTGCTGCTATAAAGTACCATGCACATCATTTAGTCCAACCCTCTCCTTTTTTTGTGAGGTGATTGGGGTTTAGCGACTTGCCCAGGGTCACACAGCCAGTAAGTGTCAAGTGTCTGAGGCTAAATTTGAACTCTAGTCTTCCTGACTCCTGGGCCGGTGCTCTATCCACTTTGCCACCTAGCTGCCTCCAACCCTCTCCTTTTAAAGACAAAGAAACTGAGGTCCAAATAAGAGGGAAAGTGATTGGTTCTAAAGCCCTTACTAATTAGTGGCAGAAGCAGGATCAAAAGCAAGGTCTCCCATGCACCCAAGATAAATTCTTAGTACATAAAGAGGATCTTAGCTCCAGTGGAGGGTTTCAATATATGGATATGGTGAGAGGCAAGGCTAGCAAGACAGGCTGGAGTCTGATTGTGGAATACTTTGAATTTCAGGCTAAAGAATTTGGGTTTTATTATATAGATGGTGAGAGGCTGTGATGTCTTATAAGCAAGAGAGTTGGGTGGCCAGAGTTATCCCGTAGAAAGATTAATCTCAGAGAAGCAACAGCAATGAAATAGAATGAACATTGTGCTAGGAGCAGGTGTTATGTGTCCTAGTACCAGCTCTATTAATAATTAACTTGGGCAAGTCACTTGTTTATCTCCTCTTGGCTTCAGTTTTCTCATCTATAAAATGGGACTATAGGACCAGATTATCTTTAAGGTCTTTTCCATCTCTATGAGGCAATTCAAGTAAATAATTCTACAAATACTTATTAAATATCTCACACACCTGACTCTAGGGATTAAAAACAAACAAACAAACATGAAATAATTTCCACTCTCATGGAGATTACACAATACTTGATGGATTTTGCATGCAGACAAGTAGGTAAATTCAAAGCATCTATAAAGTATCTCAAAGTAATTTTAGAAGAGGATTCTAATAAGTGGAGAAGGGATATCAGGAAAGGCCCTATTTAGGAGATGGCAACTGAGTTGGTTTTTGGATGAATAGCTTCTGTGAGATAAGAGATGAGTGTAGTTAGGCTATGAAGAGAATGGATTAAAGGTGGGAAAGATTGAGGCAGGGAAATTATTTAGATTGTAGCAGTGAGAATAGAAAGGGAGAAACAGATAGGAGAGACATGATAAAATAAGAATCCTTACTATTTGGTGTTTGGTTGGGTCTAGATGGTTAAGGAAATGGAAGAGTCAGATATACTCCAAGATTTTGAGCCTGCGGGACTGGAATAGTGGTGGTGCCATTAACAGAAAGCAAGCTATGACTGGTCACCAGAATTAGTTTCTAAACAGGAGGCACATAATTGACCATTAAATTAAACTCCCCTGTGTTAGAGATAATGCATTACTATGGGCTACTACTGTGCATCGAACACATTATTGCAAATAATGCTTTCTTGTTAATTACTGCTAAATCTGGTAGGCAAATGCCAATTTGATAGCCCTCAAGGAATCTTTGCTCTTGGCATTGAGCCTGGATGACAGAATTATTGTTTTCATCCAAACCAGGCTACGTGGAAAGAAAGATACCACTTGTGTGAGCTAATAACTCATGGTTAGTATTCAATTCACCATGCAAACTGGGCCATGGACTTTCAAGGGAGCTGATTACCTTCTAGATACTTTCAGGATGAGATTAATCTGAAAGCAGTTGTTCCAGGAAGGTTCCTCTAACAACTTATTAACTTGTTTCCACACCCCCCCCAAGACTATCCTATGCCTTTCACACTGCACTGGAGGTAGAAGATTCACTGAGTGGATAAATTGTAGAATCCCAGAGCTCAAAGGGAGCTCAAAGGTCACGCTATTCAATCCTTACCTGAATTTGGAAACCCATCCATACCATGTGCATTAAGTCATCATCCAGTCCTTGCCTGACTTATAGGATCATAGGATCATAGATTTAGAGTTGGAAGAAACCTTAGAGGTCATCACCCTCCTCATTTTACAGAGGAGCAAACACAAACCCAGGGTCAGAGAGCTAGTATGTGACTGAGGCAGGATGCAAACATAGGTTTTCCTAACTTTAAATCTGACCCTCTATCTACTACACCATTGATAGCCATTCCATTGATAGATACCAAATTGTCTCATGAGGCATCCATTCTTAGACAGCACTAAATTAGCAAACTTTGCCCTAGATTGAGCTGAAATGTACCTTTCTGTAAATTCCACCTAGATTTTCTAGTTATACCCTCTGGAGCCAAGC